CCAGAAACAGAACTGAATGGAAGGCCATTGAACATGCTTTTCATCCCAGAGGCAAAGACACTGGGGCCACACATTTGTTCTTCAAGGGTCCTTGGGGTGGTGAAGGACTTTAGCAAGCCCTATCTTACCTACCTTCTCATTCTTCTCCACCTTTGTACCACCCCATTCATACATGTGTGGCCACAAATCGATCCAGCCATCCTTAGAAACAATACCCCTTCCAGCTTTTAGATTAGCCTCTCTGCTAATTGGCTTCTAGCAATTCCATTTTTCCAGCATTTCCTTGGCAGAGAAACTTTAGTGAATCCGGTTTGAGAAGAAATACTGCCACATCGAGCAGTAAAAGCTGCTGTTCTCCCTTCACGTCTGCTTAAGCTTACAGGGAAGCTGGTGAGGTGGGGCAAAAAAGGGGGCTCTTTACTTCTTTAAATCTGAGGCTGCCAGGCCCTCCTTGGGCCTCTTTATCCTGGCTGGATCAGCCTCTACATAAGGCGGTGAAGCCCAACGTAAGGAGGCACCTAAATTATGTCTTCCTCACTGCCCTGGTTGTGATCTTCTCTCCCTGGAATGGAATTGGATCAGAAAAGGCCTCCTCTCCCACTCACCCCACCTTTCTGTTCATACTGTCTATGCAAAAAATCCAACAGCAAAAGTTGATTTCATTTTTCTGCCTTTAAAAGGCTAAATGAACAAGGGAAAGGTTAGTCAGTGGCTGTATTCACTCCACACACTTAACAGGGTTGAATAAAAGCTCAAGAGATGCATTTGCAAAACTTGCTGATATTAATACTAACTTTAGTTCAGGTTTGCATGTTGCACAAATCCGGTTCATCTGGTAAATTTAGTCATGAACCCAGCAATGGGTTAATTCAGTCTCTGCATTAAGGGTACTAGGTAAATATAGTCTGTGTCATCCAACTGACTTCACCCCTGATTTCTTGTAAAGCAGCTTTTCCCAAACTGGGTACCCTCCAGATGTGTGGAATTCAAGTCTTAAAATCTTCAACAACAGCCCTGTTAGATAAGAAATTCTGGAACTGAAGTCCCATGATGGGAAGATACCTCTGGCATGTTTCAAAGGGCCGGATGGGGGGCTCCTCTGCCACCACTCCACTATCACACCTCCTCTTTTCCCCTGTTGAGGTGGGCCAGCCTCTTTTCCATTTGCAGCATCACACATTCCTCTTAAAAGCTACCCCCAAAACAAGGGTTTCTTTCCCACCACCCCATTTTCACCAGCTCTGCCCTATTACCTCAATATTGCAGTCTTGCCTTCAACAACATCAGAACTTTGGGTCTCCTTTGCTAACAGTCAAATATCAAAAGAACACACTATAAAATTAAGACCTGCTTGATAATGCCTCCCACTGCTCCTCTGAGGAGGAAATGCTATAGTTAAAAATGAAGAGACTGGGTTGAACTGGCATTGTCTTGATTATAGAATTCATGTTTATGCCGCTATTTTCAAGCTGTATTTAAAAGTAATAATTTTCTCTCTGTGGTTTTAAACACAGGCTTTCCCAAGTGGGTTGAAGTGCTTTTAGCTCTCAAGAGGATAAACAGACTAGTTCTAAAGACATTTTGCATTCATCTCCTGCTGGTTATCCTCAAAAAGGAGTGGAGCAGAAAAGGAAGTAAGGATTTCTTAAATGCCCAGCATGTGTGAGCTCAGGGATAGCCTTTCATCTTGGTAACAGCTCGCTGAGTGATATAATTCTAGATTACCAGGAATCAGCTGAAAATCAAATAACCTCATAGCTACACTGTGTAAAAATAATGTCCCTATCTCAAAAGTGTCTAGAAATAGTATCATGTGATTTGGTAGCTCTTCTGCCTAATGCTGAAGTGATTAGGTCCTCAACACTTTCAGGTGGTTACGGTCCTCAGAACTTCCAAGGTGGACTTCAGAGTTTCTCCAGAAGTGCCACCAAGTTGTACTTCTGAGTGTGTGAAGAAGAAGGAAAATGTGAAATTCATTGGCAAATATTAGGCAAGGATAAAATCTCACTTGAGTCTGGCTCAAGGCCTACGCCTGCACAGCAGGTCCGTCCCACAATATGGAAGTGGTTGGCCATTGTTTTCTCCTGAAATGTTTCATTATTCTTTGACTGGCATACAGGTAGTCCTTATTTAGCAACCATAACTGGGACCGGCAACTCAGTCATTATGCAAAGTGGTTGCTAAGTGAAACCGTGACAATGCTAATGATCTTACTTCAGAACTGCAAGTGTTGTAAATGTGAGGATTGGTTATAAAGTTACTTTTTCATCATTGTCACAACTGCAAATGATTGCTAAACGAGGCAGTCACTAAGCGAGGTCCACCTGTACTTCCTACTGATCTCCCATTCAAATACTAAGCAGGTCCAACTCTGTGTAACTTTTCAAGTTCAGTAGGCTTAATTAATTCAATTTCATTTGATAAATTAAATCCAAACTACTTTTTTCTCCAAAACCCATTATTTGTTTAAATATTCCAAGGCAGGCTAGTGCAGTCAAAAGCCAAATGTAGTTTCTGGCCCCAAGAAGGCTTAGTGTCTCTGCCCCATAGATGAATAACATGGTTAGAAAGACTGCTGTTACTAATTTTTTCTTTTTTTAAAGTTTCAAGCATGTCTGCTCACAAATCCCATTTCCTTTAATCCCAATAAAGAGATTATTGAATTGCATCCTAAATGGATTGCAGCTGCCGAAAACTCAGGGGTAAATTATATCACTCACTTCCTGCCTGGATTAGCCCTAGATCAGCCCTCTTTATCAAAAACCTCTGTAACCATAAATGAATGCTCAGGATTCCGTTAGCCCCATGTTGGTGGGTGCTAAACCTGGAGGATGTGTTAATCCAAGTGGTACATTCATTTGGGAAAATAAATTAAATTTGATGACCCCTTTCAAGAAATGGTTGGAGGATTAGTTAATTAAAATGGAATTAAAAGATATTTGAAGCAGGATCTAGGGTGACCAGATGCAAAGAAAGGAAAGGGCTCCTGCAGCTTTCACAGCCACGGGCACATCCATCAGAAGAACAGCAGCTCCTGTCCTCTTTTCCACCCGCCAATCCCAGATGGAAATAAATGAAGAGGAACCAAACTGCATCTAAGTGTGCGTGGGATGTCAATTAACTGAAACCATTTGGGTACAATCTGGATGGGAAATCAATTGCCTTACCCTTCTGTACAATGTACATTCCAATAAATATTTCTAAGTTTGCATTACCATATGCAAAAGTTATGCAAACTGAGATGGAGACATATGGTCTACATCTTTTAAGTACTTAGCAAAGCCTCTTGGAAGGCATTTTCATGCTGAGCAAAGCTGCCTATCTCCCAAAAGGTGTAATTCGTATAATATTGAATATCTAGCCCTCAAGGCTTAGTTCAGGCATAGCTCTGCTGGGGAAGAACTTCGGGAGAAGAATGGATATTTGAACCAGTCCCTTTCACTATTCAGAATGTTCTTATAATCCAAAGGACAGTTGCTTAACCTGAAACCTAAATGATGCTTCCATCTGAGCATCTTAGTCTGATTCGTGGCTCCCAGTTCAGTATTCTCTTCATAAACTGGTCTAAAAAGCTCGGGCATGCTTCCCAGATGCATTGGCAGCTATGGCTATAGTAATAATGCCTTTATAATTCTAGAACACATAAGAAATCCATCCTGAAGCCTTGTGCAGAGCAATAGTTTTACATAAGGAGAAGGGTGGACATTTCCTACCATGGAATGACTTCCAGCGAATCTACTTAATTTTTTATTTCACCTGGCTGATAAAATGATTTATCCTCTTGATACAGTTGTAAAGAGCAAGCACTGCTTGATATGGAGGTTTATGCCAAATGATATTCTTTTGTGCACTGAATAGCCTTCAACACATCTTTATGAATATGTTATGATATGCCTTGAATTTAAGGGCATCAGTAGGCCATCCCAATGTTGTCTAGTTGGCTGCACTGACTGTAAGATCTCTTTTTCAGACTAGTATATGAAATTCTTTCAAATAGAAATAATAGGTACTCAGTCTGACATCCAGCAATTGGGGATCCAAGATTGAGAAGCACAGCTTGAATGCTTCTTCTCTCCTGGTTGGATATCACCTCAATCCCACATCTGGCTGGCCTCATAACCCCAACAACCTGAATCTCGTGGTTTCTATCAACCAAGTGGATCACTCTCACAGGTCAAATTTTCTCTTCATCATATTAAACTGAAATGGGTTGGAAGAAACAGAATGCTTATTTCAGTAAAGTAATCAACAACAAAGAAAAAAAAAAGAATAGTCCTTAAGCATGCCATAATTCAATTCTGTTAAGGATACACACACTACTCTGCCTAGTAAGATGAATCACTGAAGCCTCAGGCTGCATCCTTTATTGCAACCAAATACATTCTTGACAAGAATATAAATGATGAGCTGAATCCAAAGGAGAATTAATTGCATAGGTATCTCCTTAGGATTCCTCCCTATTTATTAGGCTAGCATTTTCAGTCTGGGAGCCTTCAGCAGAGCGACCTCTTTCATTGTTTTCAAACAGCATGGAGAACACCATCTTGGGAAAGACTATATGAGATTATATCTTCTAGTGGGAAACAATTCTAAGAACTTCTGGATGAAAACGTAGGAGCAGCCAAAGGCAATTTCAAGGAAAAGTAAACCTATTTTATGATGGGCAGTCACCCAAAGAGCTCAGGCAACCACTTCAGATATTACAGAACTGGGAGACAGAGGAAGAAATAATCACCACAGAAAAGTAATTGGTTGTTTCCCCCAACCCTAACAAATTAAAAATATACATGGAATGTTATTATCCTGAAAATGTGTTACTTTTACTTGATCTGATCCTGAAGATAATTCTAATTTGGAAGCAACGCAGGCCGAGAATTCTGGAAGGTGCAGTCTCCCATTGAAACAACACCATTTTGGAGAAAGCAGTAGGTACAATTTAAACATTACTCTTCTAGAACATATCAACAAAGGGAACTCTATCACCACTCAACACGCATTACCTGTCTGGGCTGTTCAATCACTCGCTGTGGATCAGACTTCACTTTGTTGTTAGGATGGTTGGTAACTTTGGTTACAGGCTGTTTAAAAATAGAAGCTGTTTGTCTGATTGGCAGCGTTGTGTTTAAATCTGGTTTACCCTGTTGGTGGGGTGGGGAGGAGACACAGAAAAAAAAAACATATTAGCCTAGGGTTGAGAGACCAGCCAGGTAGATATGAAAAGTCAACACATGATTAAAATGGTAAGACATTTTTCCTCCTAATGTTTTTTGCCCTGAACATGAAATGTCTCATAGTGCAACAGAAGTTTGAATTTTATGGACTGCTTTATATTTGTATGTACAATATATAATGGCTCAAAGCCTGTGATCTCTGCTTATGACACCAAGAGATTTAAAAACTTATCTTGATCTTCCAAACAACTTCTTATAAACTGCCAAGAGATTTCAGGAATCGATGGTATGCCAAGTTAGAAAAAGAATAATAAAAGAGCTATTTTAAGCTATTTTAGTATTTGTCAGGCTTCTAGAAAGCTCCACAGCGTGACAATTTTCTGTGCAAAGAAAAGTTGCATCATGTGGGGATTCTGAGGCAGGGATCCTTTTGATCCAGAGTTGAACAAAAAGGAAGGATAACTTCCTTGAATGTTATCAGGAGAAAAAATAATCCACCCTTCCTGTTTTGAGAGGTTATTTTCAAGGATTGCCTAAAAAGAGGAGAAAAGTGTTTATCAAACCAATGTAATGTAAAATGAGGTCAGTCAAGGATGGAGAAGACAAAAGATTCATGCGGTTAGTCACACAGCTAAATTCATTGACCTCTGACCAAGTGACATCTGTAAACAAGATTAGAGCAAGTGGACCAAAGCAACATATGAACAGAAACAATAGAGTGGGGGAAATCATGGCTTTATGCCCCTATCCCTCAGCCATTAAAATTTCAGTCCAACATATGCACAGAACTCAGTAGAGCAGCATTTCTTAAACCACCTTTTACAGACCACCCCAATTTGAAGATGTTCCATCAGCTGTTGTGGATTTTGCAACTGTTCGTTTTCACTAAACAAACACCCCCTCAGTGAATGAAGAGAAGAAGCTGGAGGAACCTCACTAGAAGGCTTTCAGATGAAATTTATTTATTTATTTATTTATTTATTTATTTATTTATTT